TCACACAAATCCATGTGCAGAAGATGGAGAAGAGCTATAATGGAAGAACAAATTTTGGACTTGAAACTTGATTTTGAGTGTTTTTTTTTTCTGATGATCCAACACAATTTTTCTTTGGAAAAATACGAGGGGAGTCCTTTCACAAGTCCTTTTTGTGGCAGTTTATTAATAGTTTTAAAATTTAAGTGAGATAGACGCTTATGCCATAACCAGTTTTGTTCAGAAGGAGCTTTAGAAAAGAAGCAAAGATTTTGAAGAGAAGAGGATCGAGCAGATATCATGTCAACCATATAGGCATTATTTTTACGAAAACTAGAAAGAATTTCTATGTTATCAGGAGAAAGAATAGAATATTTTATTTCAAGAAATTTGATAGAAAATCCTGCCACAAAGTTGACGGATACTTAAAAGATTATGTTTGAGTCCTTCCACATAGGCGACTTGTTCAAAGGTTACTAATCCATTAGTTAGAATACCGTACAATAAGAGTTAACCTTTTTGAGTTATCACCAAAAGTAACCGATGGTCCTTTTACTGACATAAAGTCTTTGAGCAGGGAGATATAACCAGTCATGTGACTTGAACATTCACTGTCCAAGTACAATATTTAGTGTCTGGATACCCATTTAATCATGGGTCTATCAAGGTAAGAGTAGAGCAAGTAATGGCTTATATTTCTTATGGAAAAAGTGAATATTAGTGAGTAACATTGAATGATAAGTGTGACTTTTATAATGAATATTGCATTAGATGTTATTATCTAACTTTAACGTGTGTCTTCATCTGATTTGTTAATCTATGCATGCTTGCAATCTTCATTTCAACCTTTGTGGTTGACATAGACACTCTTTAACCTATCTCATCCTTCTGTATGTCCAAGGAACAGTAAAGTAAGTGTGGCACTAATAAAATAGTGTTTAGAACTTACTTTGGCTGACATGTTGTGCATGTTCTCATATCAGGGTGGGTGTCAGAGATCTGGTCAAAATCCATTTTGCCAGTAGTAGTATTTATCATACTACTATTTGAATTTATCTTGTATTAATCTTCTTTTTGGCTAAATGACAAACCAATCCGCTTTGGTGACGATCTTGACCTCAATTCAACTAGTCTTCGATTTTGTTGAAGACATTTCATTCTTGAATCAATACAGATAGTTACAAGAATTTTACAAGTAAAAATCTTATCTTGTTCTATTCCAAAATATAAGTTATATATCGTATTTCCAGCTATAGAAACTTTATGAAGTTGATTCATCGGATATCTAAGAAAAACTTGGTATAAATTATGGGGTTCTTGAATTTCAAGAAATGGATAACCAATAAGAATGTCAATTGGATTCTCCTTAACAAAAAATATTTAAGACATAAGAATTGATCACAATTTATATAAGTGGATCTGATGAATGTGTTATATCTGAATCCTTATGAATAAGGTTTCAGATGTTGCTCTTTTATAGTTATATCCGACGGATGAGGTTCACCGAATATTCTCCTATTAAGACAAGTAATCACAAATTTATTTCTAAGTGTTAATCGGATGCAACATGTATTATTTACAAATTCGATGACTAAGACCAACAATCTATTTTGATAAGCACAAATAGCCTTTTTAGCTGACCAAATTTACCTTTTAGTAATTTCTCTCCCAAGATTTCAAAAAACTCAACACCACTGCAAGTAACGATCCTCAACTTTAGGCATGAGAATGGGGCAGGGACCCCAATCCCCATCCTCGTCCCTAATCTCCAATCTCTGTCTCCATCCCCAACGGGAATGGGGATCCCCAGCGGGGAATCGAGGATTGATGTCCCATTTATGTGAAATATTTTAAATCAAATGTTTTTAAACACCACACCTGATCCAAAATCCGGTTGGGCGCTTTAACCATTCAGCCATGGATGCAAAGAGACTCAGCGAGTGAACTAGGTTTTGGTATTCCTTCTTGAGCTTCTATTTCTTCCGTTAAAGGAGATTCGAGAAAAAAAAAGGGAGAAAGTTGCACTACTTGGTGAACTAGGTTCCTTTATAATCAACCGTCCGGGATCATTCAGTACAACAATATGAACACGATACCATGGTCCATGTTTAAATCTCACATATTTCCATATTTTTGCTTTTATGGTCTATCAAATGTGAATATGTTAACAAAATCATAACATCATACGTAATGTTTGATCAAATGTTTTTCAGCTCTCCATTTTTATGTAAAATAACTAAAATAAGTTATAAAAATGTATATAAAAAGAAAGGTCAAAAAACTATTTGTGCACCGATTCTCTAATGGAACGGGTCTGATTCCATACCCACTCAACTTGCAAAGGGACATTAATAAGTTAAAAAATGCATGCCCACTTATGGAACTCTCATGGACCCACTTGCACTTGCATAACCACCTCAAATGCATGTCCATCTCACACAAAACAAGTTAAGGAATGATTACTTGAAGAGATGGTGATTTTTCTGAAAAGTTGGAGGGAAGGGATTAAGAGGTGAATTTAGTCGACTGATACGGTTATTTGTGTCATTTTCCCTTTTCGTAAACATATCGATATATATATATATATATATATAGAGAGAGAGAGAGAGAGAGAGAGAGAGAAGGGAGGATCATGCGAGAATTTAACTAATTTGCGAGAAGACGAAAATGAATATGAGTCACATAATTCATTAATTAAAAAGTAACATAAAAATTATTTAGAACTTAGGATAACTATCATTTTAAATTGAATAGTTATTTTAAATCTAATTATATCTTTTAGATTTATTTATTTTTTAATTTAATAAATTCATATAATTATGTTATAAGGTTTTATATAACTTTTTTTTTTTTTCTAGATATACTTTGATAAAAAAAAATTCAAAATTTTCATCAAATATCACATGTGATATCTACAATTAATTCATGATTCTTTTATTATCTTTTCTCTAATTTTTGGATCTATGTTTTGAATAACATGCGATAAACTTCGTTTAACATATGACTTATTACATATCATATATGATCTACTACATTAATTTTTGTACATGTCACATATGATAATTTACGTATGAATATAAGTGACGTATTATCAAATGTGATAATATTTACATCACAAAAAGTTATAAATGTAAACATACATAATCACATATGATTAACAAAAATATATATGATTATCACATATGATTAATAAAAATATTTACAATTATCATATATGAATTGATCATAGATATCACATGTGATATTTGATAAAAAATGTGAAATTATTTTATCAAAAGTGTATCTAATTTAATATATAAAACTCGACGAAAAAAGTTATTAGTTAAAATTAAAAAATAAATAAATCTGAAAGATATAATAATAACTTTAAGTATTTATCCAATTCAAAATGCTAATTATTCTAATTTCTAAAATTATATTTTATTTTTTATTTACGGTATTTTTTTTAATTAATTAGTAGATTATGTGACTCATATTCCTTCTCGCTTTCTTGCAAATCGATCGTTTTTCGTTTGAACACACACACACACACACACACACACACACATATATATATATATATATATATATATAATAACCAATGAGAACCACAAAAATGTTACAAACCTAGAAAACCCATTTTAAAATATTTTTTACATAATTTTTTCATCAAATGCTATGATTTAAGATATTATTTCACATATATTTGTTTTATAATATGATAGTTTAATTACGTGAATATTTTTATGTAAATTTTTCATTTCACCAATGAAACTAAAAAACAGTTTCACGTGTAATTTTTTCATAAGGTGAACACAAAAATATGTGAAACAATATCTTAAATTATAGTTTTTGATTAAAAAATTATATAAAATATATTTTTAGGCCAGTTCTCACGAACTTATAACTTTTTTATGCTTCTCATTTGATTATCGCCCTATATATATAACATTATATAATCTAATAAAAAAGGAAAAAAGACAAAATAGACTAAAAGGACCGGCATACCTTCAATTTAACTTACTTCTTTTTATCTAAAGTTAGGGGTCGTTTACCAAACATTTAACCAATAAGTGCTTACCGGCAAAAATTAACACTATCATTTACTTACTGGGTAAGATTTTAGTTCATCAAAATGGCATCGTATGCAAAAATTAACACTATCATTTACTTACTGGNACTTACTGGGTAAGATTTTAGTTCATCAAAATGGCATCGTATGCAAAAATTAACACTATCATTTACTTACTGGGTAAGATTTTAGTTCATCAAAACGGCATCGTATGCAAAAATTAACACTATCATTACTTATTTTTTTAGCCACAACCAAAATAACTTTATGAATTTTCCTTCCAATTCTTAATAAACCTCATAAATAAAACTTGGAATGCAAATAAAAGTAATTTATTTAAAAAGGTGTTACATTCTTTGCCAATTAAATGAAATTCCTTCTCAGATCCCCCTTCAAAAAAATTAATGTGACAGAGAAAAAAATGATGTGATAAAAAGAGAAAATTAAGTGATAAATTCATGAACATGTAGAGAGGTTCATTATTGTAGATAAGCATGACAATGGGTCAGGGATGGGGCGGTTTTGAGTCTCCCCGGTCCTGGCCCCGGATTCTATGAACGGCCCTGCCCTGGCCGTGGTCCTGGCGTGTACAGGGATTAATATCCCGTCTGCAGTTTATTTTTCGGTCAAATCTCAATCTTCGTCCCCGGTCAAAACCTAATTTTAGAAAATAAATAATATATATATACACACATATATATATATATATATAAATAAATTATATACCGGGTACGGGGCGGGGGATATGATACCCGGTCTCGGACCCAACCCAGGTTTGAGTCTCCTGTCCTGTCCTGGGACCCGTTTTAGCGAAGAATCCCCGTTCGGATCGGATGAGCTGGGATCCCTACTGGTTCGGGGCAAATCACCATCCCTAATTGTAGATTTTCAACTTTAACTTTTCTATGAAGTGTGCATTTGGACCCTTCTACATAGAAGAAAACATCGATAAACAAAAAGACCGAAATCAAACTAAATTCATAAATCATTTTACATATAAATTGAAATGAAATAATTGCTTGACATTATTCAAAGGTGACATCATATCACAAACAATTTCAAATGAATACTATGAAACAACGAATCATCGAACACAAACATATCATGCATCAAATGACTTCTTTAATTTAGTTTTAGACGTATTATCATCACCATCACCATCATCATCACCATCATCATCATCATCATCTTCTTCACAATCTTTCAATAACCACGACATGTCTGCTTGTTGAACCAAACTCTTGACCTTCTCAACCCACCACGAAGCAGGCACGTGATATTCATCCTTCAGTCCATCCGTATATTTGTTCACGAGAGCAATGTCGCGATTAACCTCTAACTCGAACCCTCCTTTGCTACCTTGTGTACCCGCGATTCCATGTAAATAAGTCTCCATATCATGCCATCTTTGTATGTCCCCTGGACTCTTCAAGTACGGCGACTTCGTCGTATCAATCGCCAACGCTTCTCCAACGTGCGAGTACCCGATCATCAATGGGTAGTGTGGAACCACATCATGCTCGTTTTGAACGCGCAAGACACGAATATCCGTGTGCGCAGAGACGAGGTTTTTGAAGTCTGAGTCGCCCACTCGAGGGCTAGCAAATACAAATGCAGTCACGGGAAACGCCTTGCTACGCATACCCAGTGGCTTGTTGAACCCGTTTGACACGATATCAGCTGCATTTAACGTCGCGAGTGCTCCACCCATGCTATGCCCGACTATCGTTATGCTTATTTCCTCCTCCTTGTATAGTTCTACTAGTCGCCTCACCTCTTCAAGAACCTATACAAAATATTTTATATATATATACATGAGATCATACGAGAACAATGGTTTTTTGTGAGACCCATAAGACCAATTATCAACTCTTGGATTAGATCTATAATATGAACATTCATAATTATAAAATTGTCACGAGACTTTTCAATAATCACAGCCACCATGCAACTTTAGGCCATTAGATCATTAGCTTATAAAGTTGATCAATGAACATAAATTGGTCTTACGGGTCTCACGGAAAACTTTGGTCTCATCTGAACCCAGCCCTATATATATATATATATATATATATATATATATATATATATTGAATGAATGTTATCTACAGGAAAAAATGCACAAGAGAAAACTCACTTGGTGTCTAGCACTCGATTTATTGAATGGCGATCGCGGATCAGCCGTCGTGTAGATTGAATGCCAACCATCTTGAACCTTTACATCATTGGTCCCTCTAAATATTTCAGGAGCCGAAACGGACACGAACTTGAGATCGTTAATCCATTCCATGGTTTGAACCGTGCCTCTCCAAGCGATGACGATATCTCTCCTCCCTAACGCCGCCTTCCCTTCTTCCGTAGCCACCGCGACATACCCTATCCAATTCGATTCCTTGCTCCAAGCCTCCCTCGATAACGACTTCACAAGGAACGAAGGAAGTGAGACAGACGATGTGCCATAGAAATATTTCGTCACTTGGTACCTAAAAGGGTTCCCATCCTCAATTCCAACGGCGGAGAGGAGGTTGCTCCGATGGAATAGGCTACTTCCGGCGAAGTTTGATGTCTTCTCAGAGATAAAAGCATCACGTGCAGCCTGAGCCATCTCGCCGTAGTGGATGATGTATCGCCGGAGATCGGAATCCAGTGGATCTAAGAGGTCTACCCAATGGTTTTCTCCACCAAGTGTCTTCCATTTTCTTGAGATGCCATCCATTTTAGTCTGAAAGTTGTTTACTTTGTGAGTTTCTTTGAAGCATTTCAATGGTAGATATAATGTGGGTATCTGTGATTAAATATTCTTCATGTTGCCAAATAAGATGAACATACTTCCTCAGCAACATGGATTAAAAAAGTATTATTTCATAGTTTTCGTTGGGATTGCTTATAAAAATAACTTATTGACTTATTCCGATGAGGTACCAGTAATAAGCATTTTTAAATGTTTTGATAAACAATTTATACCGGTGTTAATTCGAAGACAAAGTAATTACATAAAATACACACGCACCCACTTTTAAATTTGGTTCATGATAAATGAAAATAAATGAATTTTGTATTATTAGGAAATTAAGTTTAATATAATAAATGTAATTATTTATATTTCTTACTCATTTTTATTTGGCAGCCTGAAGATTTTATAACCGTTGATCATGTACATACCGATGCAATTCTTGGTTATGTAAAAAAAATGTGACATCATATCAAAATTAACTGATGCCACCTATTTTGCTCGTGTCTCATCATGGTTACATGAGTCTGCTTGATTGTTAACTTCATGACCCAATAGGATTAGTCGATTTGTGCACAAACTGTCTGGGTGCCCCACACTACTAGAAAACAAAGTATCATCGACGAAAAAAGTCCCTCGCTGATCAGCAAGGGAACTGATTTTTGGTCATTCTCTCGTTGATCAGCGAGGGATCAACGACGGAACTGGTTTTTGGCTAATTTCATCGTTGATCCGCGAGGGATCAGCAAGAGAACTGACCAAAAACAAGTTCCCTCGTAGATCAACGAGGGAATGGCAAAAAACCAGTTCCCTTACAGGTTAGTGAGGGATCATTCCCACTACCACTGGCAGACCAGTCGGGCCAGGGTCAGTATAGTATGAATTCATGATATGGTTGCCTTGGTTAAAAAAAATAATATGAATTCATTGTATTTAAAGACATAGAGGTTGTATATAATCATATCGTTTCATCTATAGAAAATACGTTTCTTTATGACAATGGGTGATACGGGTGCAGGTATTAGTTCCAATGAAATGACTGACAACTCCAATAATGTTAATGCGAATGTAGATGGATGTTATGGTATATCTTCTTTATTTTAATTCCTATGTTGATGTTCTTCTATAATATGAATGTTTGTCTAATATTCGTCATTGTTTGTATTGGAAAAAATTGGCCGATGAAATGGGTGAGTGAAAAAAGTGAAACCATTTCATAATTGTTAAGAAAATGTTGTGTAATTAGCAAACAGTGAAACAATTTCATTATCACAAAGTTACCATTAATATTACCACCACCAAAGTTACCATTTTGTCCTTTTAGAGTTTATAAAATAAATTTTTATTTATTTATTTATTTTAATTTCTTAATATAACCTAAACAAATCTTGACCATTGATCAAGAAAATGGATGGATGAGAATGGTATATATGGTTTACACAAATGATGGCGGTTTTCTTTTGATCGCTCCTCTATATATATATGTATATATATATATATATATATATATATATATATATGACACTTGTTTATTTTTTGGAAGGATATAAAAATTAAAGGTAACTTAAATAACAATTTAAGAGGATAAACATGTAGCATAACTTAATTAAAGAAGATAAAAGATTTAGACGTCAATGATTCATTTTTATCCGTTCCGAAAAGATCCGTCTTAATCAAATAACATAACAGTCGAGACCGAATGGATCGGTCTTATTGACACTCGCGGACGGGAATACTTTGTCAAGGGGTTTAAATGACGTCCATAATTGTTAATGTTAAGAGTTTATTAATTGAAGATTAAAATGTCAATTTTATATTAATTGTTAAGATTTGTTTCTTGAAGATTAAGTATCTATTTTTTTGTTAATTGTTAATTATTAAGATTAGGGTTTCTTGGTAGATACATAATTGTTAAATAATTACGTAATCGTTTATTAAATGCATATCCAGTATATAAGTGTTTATCGGATCATTTATCTTACCAGATGAACATGCCAATATTCGTGAATCATACCGGTAAGAGCGATAATAAAGATGGAGAGTCTTACCTGGTAAGTGAGGGTGACAACTTTTAGCCGGTAAGTGCTTATCAGGTAAATTGTTGCATACGATACCATTTTGATAAAGTACAATCCTACCGACACATTAGGTAAGATGGAATATAGACTCCTACCGGTAAGCGTTTGGGTAAACGGCCCCTAAGTTTGTTTCCCAAGTAATTTTTTTACCATCTTTAGTGATAACGTTATCATTGGTCATCATCATCGACAAATTATTGTAGCATTTCGAAACTTAAGTTCGAACAATGTTTTTTTTTATTAACCTGGATATCCAACCCGCTATGCGAGCCGACTAATCCCAGGACAACCACCTGCTTTGCAGATAGCCTGGAGTCACCGCATTTGAATCTCAATGGACACAAGAGGATTTTTATTTCTTCTTGGATTTGAACTTGGGACCTCCAGATACTTTTAACCTTTGGAGTCAAGCTCAAACTAATCAGGCACCACTCTTGTGGTTAAGTTCGAACAATATTTCGATTCTTATCAACAGATTTCGATTCTTATCGACAGATTTCGAAGGTCCACCACTGCTTATATATATAATAATAATAATAAATTATAATACAATGCTATGGAATAGAATTTGTTGAATAATGTAAGTTATATTTTATTACTTTGGAATGTCAACTCCTCCCCGATAATATGTGTTCATCCATATCACAAGGTTTATCCCAATAGGGACATCATTAATTAACAAGTCAATGGTGCAAGGTGAGGATTTAGGGTTGACCATGGCACCCCTCTAATAGGCTAAGCTCTAAGGCCACTAAGATCTGTGACGTTGGTTAAAATAATCATTTCTTTCATATAAATTGGTCTCTTAGTTATTTCTCTACATAATTTATTCAAATATTATTATGTTTCCGTCATTGGTGGACCCAGCTAAAAAACAAAAAAGAATTACAGATTTGATCTAGGTCCACAATTGCGACGGCCGGGTCGACAATTGTGATGGCTAGGTCCGAAATTGCAACGGCAAATCTACAGTTTATTTTTTTTTTTTTTTTTGTCTTTTAGTTGGGTCTGTAAATGGCGGACGTGAGACTTGTAGAGGTAGTGATATTTGGGTAAATCATGGAGAGTAATTAATGGCTAGGAGAGCAATATATGTAAAAGGAATGACTATTTTGACCGATTTTATTTTATTTAACCTTTAGAAAATCAAATATTAAAATAATGAAGCTTTTGTTTTGTATGTGAACCAAGGTTCTAAACGGTGTGATACGAGGCATGGTGGTGAGGTCAAATATAAAGTCTTGTAAGTAATGGTGGAAAAATATGTATATCATATATATATATATATATATATATATAGGAGAAGGATCGTGTAAGAAGCGTAAGAAGAGATTTGAATCTTTGATCACTTTTAATCTCATGTCAACTCATGCATTATGCTTTAGAACGGAATAGATCCGGTGTATTTTGGTGCACCTCCTTAGTGTTGACATTCAATTAGGATTGATCCAATGGTAGATATCTCTTCTTACACTTATCTCCATATCTTCCCTTCTCACCGGAACTCAAGGCTATACATATATACACACACACACACACACAATCATACATAAATTTTCTAAAATTAGCCGATGAATCAAGGATATAAAATTGAGTAACTAAAAATTAGGCTATATGGTATAAACGAAAAAATAAAACACAAAATACATAAAATAAACCAAAAATTCTTTACAAAAACCACACACGAGACCATGGTATGTCACAGACTTAATGTGGCATGATGGCGTCGAATACGAGCCTTATTTCATGATGAGCCCTCTAGAACAATCATGTATATTGAACTGGATTAGATTGGACTGAGCCGTACCATTACAAAATTGTAAATTACACATATCTAAATAATGCATATCTTACCTAGTTTCTCAATCATGTAAGATTCCTAGGGATACGGATACTGGTCATTAATCAGTATATTAATCTTGACCTGTAAAATGTTATAAGATTACCAAAATTTACCCAATTGGTATAAGACAACCGGGTATAATTAATGTTTTCACAGAGTGACATAAGAAACCATTATCGAAGTATCGAGAGTCTAATCTAATAAATCGGGTAAGAATAATAGCCATCGTAAGCCCTTGGTTAATTAACCACTCAGGTAAAAGTAGGAATTATCGTACCTTGTTGGTTAAGAATATAACATCACAAAATGAAAATATAATGCATGTTTATTATCATATATGGGTAGACCCTATCCTGTACTTGCCCATCTTCAACTCAAGTTTCTAATTGTTTTAATACAGACCGGTGGTCGCCTTCCAGATTTAACTCCCTCAATCTCGAATAAAAATCTCGTCATAAATTATCATGTATCATTCATGTCCACCAATCATATGAATACACATCATCAGAGAGAGAATCTGAACGTGTATAAATTAAATTTAAAATATATAAAAAATATGACGTGTCTTTATTTCATTGGTGAGACATGGATGAGACGTATGATTTTGGGACAAGAGATTTTTATTCATCAATCTCATGCACAGCCACCCTAAAAAAATCTTGCCAAATTATTGGCCTAAGTTGGATCGTAAGGATAACCTTACTCGATACCTAGGCCTTGTCGGATTCTATCAGCACCAAGTAGGGTTTAAGAGCGCTAGAGTGTCAAACATGCATATGCTAGTACCCGTAGTCCTAATTGTTAGAACCATTTTTCAAATCGATTTGATGATTATTAACTTATACAATGAAATACCCTTTTAGAATACTTGTAATACTAATCAACGATCAGCGGATCAAAAGACTTAAAAGTGACACCAGAATCCGATGAAATCTTTCAATGGAAACCTAATTTCCAAGGAGCTGTCACTACTAAACACTAATATCTAAACCTGATAGTTGTAAATTTGATGAGTTCAATACAAAGAATACATCAAAGCACCACAAAGCATGAAGATCATTGTT